GGGGATGTGTTGTATTCGAGGGATGCCTCAAGGCCCTCAACTGGATTTAAAACTGAAATCGTGACTGGACCCTAGTTACCCCCTTTTTTTTTTTCGGACCATTTCTGAACTGAAATGCATCATGTGCCACAGCAGCCCTGCAGCCGTGGAGTCTAAGCAGATTGGAAATTTCTGATGCTTTTCCATTCATAATGGATTCGATTCGATTCTTTCTCCAACTTAAAGTACGGCAGCCCATAATGGGTTCTTTCTCCGACTTAAAGTAAGGCCTGGACCCCACCGGAAAAGTGTTAGAAAACTCATGAAGAGAAGGGGGACCAGGACGTAGCCCATAATGGGTTCTTTCGCAGGCAAACTCTTCCGCGGTGGTAGCCCATAATGGGTTCTTTCTCCGACTTAAAGTAAGGTGATTTTGGGATATCCATATCGGATTCTATGGAAAGGCCGCCGGAAGAGTTTGCCTGCGAAATGAGGGGACCCCACCGCGGAGGCTGGAAAAAGCCTTTTTTTTTTAGATTGGAAAGGCCAGAAACTCGAGGGGGACCTGGACGTAGTCCTCGCGGATGTCCGTTTATCGAAGGGCAGCAGACCCATTTCGCAAGGGTGGCCAGCTCTTTGGGGTCACAGGGACAACAGCATATCCCTCTGCCTGGCCAACGGACAGGTCCTGGGGGTTCGACAGGACCCGAACACTGAATGGACCAGCGGCTGCGCTATGAATTTTTCAACGCGGAGTATCTCCCCCCCTTTCACCCTCTGGAAGTGGCACAAAATTTCGGCAAAAATGCTGGAAAATGACACATTTCCGACTGGAAACCATGTACTAGAAATGCCAATTTTGACTTTTCCAGTGTGTATTTTCCAGGCAGTCGGGTCCCGGACAACAGCCCGCAGCAGTTTTTTTTTTTTTTTTTTTTTTTTTTTAATAGTTTCCATATATTAGAATTGCTGGAAAGCGGGTCCAGCGTCCCTTGACATATAATGATGAGTGATTGAAACCAAAGATGCTGGGAAACGGGCCCAGTGTCCCCTGTACCTCTCCGCAGCAGGTAAATTTGCGTTTCCAAAGACCTTACTTTTGCCTGTGGGTTTCAATTGGGGAAAAGCACTTGGGGCGCGCTTTTTTCGAGATCATTTTGTCCTGTGGGGTCCAAGCCTAAGGTAGCCCCCACCAATAGACTCGAGCGTCCGGGCCCAGGCTGATCACAAACTTCAAGGTTGCTGGTATCACCTTCTCTAGCAGCGGGCCCCCGTCTTTGAAAAGAAAAGAAAATAATAAAAATGTAAGGTAGTCCCGGTGGTTCTCTTACCACCACCATGATAGAGGTCTTGCACAAAGGGCCTTGAAAAAAAAAAAAAAAAAAAAAAAAAAAAAGGTAGCCCCTCTCTACTTATGCCACAGGGGATGAAAAAGAATGTTTTTGGCCAAACCCATTTTTCCCTTGCCCGGTTTGCCCTGTGAGAAGAGGAGTGTGAGAGGTGATTTTCTTGCTCTACGGTACACAAATCATGTCCAACCAGTTCCCTGCAGTGTCTTCTGCTTTTAACATTCGCCAGATGGCATCACGTTTCTCCGGACTCGAGATGCTTGACCCAACTCCATTTAGATTAACTTGATTAAACCACCAGTACTTGGCCAGCTATCGTCGCCGAGCCTGGAATCCCCCTGCGCGCCAATTTTTGCCGAAGCGCCAGGGTACCGTTTCAATTTTTTTTGGCTGGCGCTTCCAGCCATTGAGGTCCGGTACCCCGAAGCCCAAACTTTGCGTAGTGTCAACGGCAACGGCCCGTGGCCGATGTATGGGCCAAGTACTGGTGGTTTAAGTGCTCTGATGTCCAGGTCCGTGTGGCCGAGCTTTTTCTCCCAGTCCTCAGGCCTCCTCAAGGGAGGGGAGACCTGCCCTGCAGGCTGAGGAACAGGGGGAGGTGGAGGGGGAGGTGGAGGGGGCGGCAGTTGGTATGGCACACTCACACTCACACTGTCCATTTGCTGACGCATTGGCTTCATAGTAGTGATGTGATGTGTTTCCATGTGTAGGAATAACAACGGCCCCCAGCTGCACGACGGCGTCGACGGTTTCAGATATTTTATGAAGGGGGGAGTGAGGAGTCAACGTCAACCCCTGCAGTTAATGAGTTTCAGATATTTTATGAAGGGGGGAGTGAGGAGTCAACGTCAACCCCTGCAGTTAATGAGTCTCGCACTCGTTCTCCAACAGGAGAGAATCAGAGAGATGATGTTAGCTTTGGCCTGTCCTACGCGATTTTAGGAAACGTGCGGGCCACTACAGGAGCGCCCAAATTCATCCAACTAGAAACATTTCTACTCTATTTTTTCCCGCGGCGGATAGCTGGGCCAAGTACTGGTGGTTTAAACCACCAGCACTTGGTTTTTCTTTATTATTATTTTTTTTTTTTAGTGGACCATTTCTGGATTTATGCGTGTCATCCGTGCGCAGGGGCCATGCTAATCTTCTCTGTATCGTTCCAATTTTAACGGATGTCCCGAAGGACCAGCACTTGGTTTTCCCTTTTGCCCAACAGAGCTTTTTTTGGGGGGGAGGGAACTAGGGTGCAGTCGGGGGACTACGCTACTCTCTTTTCTTTCTTCTACTACTCTCGTTCTTCTTCCTTTCTTCTTCTTTTCCTGTTTCCTTTTCCTTTTCTTTGTGTCATCTCCTTTGGGTGAATGTGTTCGCACATGGCTTGCTTTGTTGCATGAGCATGAGATTATCTTCACCACCAGCACTTGGCCGGGTTGGCCCAGCTGTCAGCCGCAGGAAAAAGGAAAAAAAGAGTGGAAACATTTCTACTCGGATGAATTTGGGCGCTTCTGTAGTGGCCCGTATGTTTCCTAAAATCATGGCTTGTTTACGGGCACTACTTTAGGAAGTAGTACTGGTGGTTTAACTAACTGCCTGTTCTATTTGTTGCTTGGCCAGAAGGCCCAGATTCCAGAATATATCTGCATTTTTTTTTCCCAGTGCAGCGGAGGAATGAGTTCACAGAATCACAGATGGATATTTCCGTTGGACCCACTGGAAGGGAATTTAGGACTATCTAATCTGATTTTGGAGTACCCCGCGTTCTGTGAGCTCTTTCTTTTTTTTTTCTTTTTTCTTTTTTTTTTTCTTTTTTTTTTTCGTTCTGTGAGCTCTTTCAGTTGTGCCCTCTCAGCTTTGTTGCGGATCAAGGGAAAAACTGTTACAGCGATAATTTTGTTAAAACGGACATTTTATATTTTTTGAACGAAATTAAAACCCAACCCACTTATTTGGCCCTGAAAATGTCACCGTTTTAGCTGTGTGGGGTCCCCCTTGGATGTACCTGAAACTTCAGTTAAGTCCAAATGGACCCTCAGGAGATAAAAGGTGATATTTTTTGGGCCAAATAAGTAGGTTTCAATTTCGTTCAAAAAATATGAAATGTCAGTTTCGACGAGATCCTTGTTTGGCCAAGGAGTGGGCCCCCTCATGTATGCAGAGGTTCAGTTGCTTCTTGTGGCACTGGGGTGATGCAGCCCAGGCCCCCTGGCACGGCACTTTCAATATTCATTTCCGCACTTTCAATATTCATTTCCGCTCTTTAAATATTCATTTCTGCTTCCCGGGTTGTTGTCCCTGGTCCCAGTTCCCAGCTGTTTTCCTGAGCCCTGTTTTTCCCAGGTGGGCCCACTTCCATTTCATGGACCAGTGCTGGATGGGCACCTGCAGCCATTTGGAGTAAGTGAGGACTTGTCTCAGACTGGTTCTCCGGCGAGGCTGGTGGCTGGTGTCCCCTGGCCCCTCCCCCTGTGGGGCTAGGTCCGTGATCATTTCAAGGTCCTAGTACGCCACATTTGTGCTTGCTTCCGGGTACTAGCTGTATCTCTCTTGAGCAATCATGGCTTCTAGTACTTCTTCCTCGGCTTGCCTTTGTTCCATCAACAGGTCGCCACATCTGTTGATATGCTGGACCAGGTGCAGCGTACGGTCCATGTGGTGGTCCCGGGGACCGGCCTTTGTTCCATCAACATCAACTCTACGCAGTAACCTCCGTAGAGATTAGACTACGGTAGTGTGGCTCGTTGACATAACTATTCTTGTTTGGTGTAGACTCAAGATGGCAGGGCAGTACCCTGTTAGGTCGTGTTACAACTGTGGTTCGCCGAGTCACTTTCTGCGTGAGTGTCCGCAACTTGGCTTCAGCCGGGCACCTGCAACGCGTGCTAATGCTACTCCTCTTCTCCTGCCTGCTCCCAACTCTGTTCCTGCCTCTGTACCCTCGACGGCGAATGTCGGCTAGTACGCTGTTTCGAATTCTTCTTCTTCTTCCTATCAGCCGAGATCTAACTTCTGGAAGGTTAACCAAGATAAGCTCGATCGATGCTATGCGAGTACGATTGCTGAATCAGATGAAGAGAAGGAAGCCAAACGTAAAGAAGACGAAGAAAGAATGAAGAGACTAAAGGAAGAGGAAGACCGTAAAGAGGAATGGAAGAAAGAACGGGAAAGATTGGAGGCTGAAATGGGTGCTCGTTTGGACAAACGTATGGCCAGTGTTTGTCCCAAGTTGAAAGGGAAGGAGGATGAAGAAAATAAACTTAAGGATGAGATGGAATCGTTGCACAAGGAGAATGAGAAGCTAAGGAAGTTGCTGTTGAAAGGGGAGAGTGAGGTAGAGGATGACACTGTAACTAAGCTGCAGAGAGAGATTGCTGAACTGAGGAGACAGGTTGCTACGAAGAAGGTAGCGGATGATGATATTTTCGCTATGAAGCAGGAGATTGAGCAGTTGAGGGTTTCGGCTTTGTCGAAGGGCAGTTTTGGGATGGAGCTCGAAAGCTTACGAACGGAAGTTGGTCGTCTGAAGGTTCAGGGTGTTAAAGACAAGAAGAAGGCGGAATTGTGGACAGGCGAGGCACTCCGTCCTGGCAACAAGAGAGGAAACATCGCTATTGGAACTCCTGAGTGCTCCGCCCGGTGCTCACCACGGCCTCGCTGGACGGATAACCTTCGGGACTCCGACAAATGGCGGCAAGAATACTTGAAGATGAAGGAGATGCACCGAGCAGCTTCTTTTGAGGCTGAGGTTCTAAAGGATAAGCGGGCGGCTGCTGAGGGCGAAGTCTTTAAGCTGAAAGAGCAGCTTAGTAAGCTACCGGTGGAAGAACCAGCGCAGGGACGGACCCCGAGGGAACTAACCTTAAAACTAGGCTCGAGGCGGTGGCTGCTCGATCGTTGAGAAAGGCAAGAAGGCGACCCCTCAAAGGTTTGCGGTCGATGGTGCTGAGCCTGCTGGTGACGTCAACGAAAGGTTCTTGTTCATTGAGGAACAGAAGAAAGATCTGCGCAATTATAAGAAATCAGGCTTGGAAACGATGTGTCAAGAGGCTGGTCTGAAGCTGCGCTCCATCGATCTGATGATTGCCGATCTTGCCGAGTTCAGGGCAGATAAGGCATTGGGGACGCAAAGTGATAAGGGGAAGGCGAAGGAGGATGAGGTTTTGGTACATGAGGTTCCTGACGATTCTTCCTCCCATCATGAAGTTTCAGCGACGGAAGACGATGAGTCTGCTGAGCTCTAGGTTTGGTGCCCGAGCGTGACTATTTGTGGTATTGGGCTCGTTTTTGTAGGAAGTCTCGAGAAGGTGACCGTACTAAGTCTACAGTGGCTGAAGATTTGGAAGGATTTGTCGACAGAGATAATGAGTGTGGGAAGTATGATGAGGTAAGGGGATCGTTTGTGTGAGGCAAGGAATTCAATGGTTTCTTCTTTGGCGGATTGTGTCCCGTGGGATAGTAAGTTCAAGGCCTACGTGAGTAATTTGTTGTATGATGTCGATCTTGAAATTGGCAATGCACCGTGGGTGTATGCGTTGGTCTCACCATGGTCAAAGCACGTGTACATTAGGTCTACCACTAGGTCTCTAGCTACCGCTGGAATGAGCATGTTCATCGATGTACGAATGCTGATGTTATTAACGGGGGACGACGGAATCACAAGTTATATGCATGGCTGAGGCGGTGTGGCATAGGGCAGTATGTGATGATACCAATCTGCAGATGTGATACAGATGACGTGTTATTAGTGGAGAAGAACCTGATTAGGCTTACGAATCCTTTCCTGAACACAAGGGATAAGCGGAGTAAGGGAAAGAGGAAGAGACCTGGAAAAAGGGAGATATGTCGGCATAGACTTCTGGATGGGAAGAAGCTTGAGCGCTTGGGACTTTGGGTTGTTGGTCCGCTGTTTCTTGGTGATCCGTGCTTTCTCCGGCAAACAGACTCGCGCTTCCCTTCGTTCGATTATTTCAGGGGCAATTCGGCGTCGTTTTCAGATTAATGTGAGGGAGAGAATGGTGGTTCGCATTACCTATGACCACCGGTTGTGTAAACCTGGAATTCGGATGCTTTGCAACGCATTGGTAAAAGAAGCAGTGGCTAACCATGATTGGAAAGAATTGGTGGTGAGAAGGGCTAGGATCGTTTGGTTGAAGAATAAAAGTATTGGAGACTTTTCGTTCAATTTTAGGTTGGCCGCAAAAGGGAGTGAAGCTGTCTGTACCTGTGAAGGTCGTACTGAAGGATTCGCAACGGTTGATGGTCATGTGTGCTGTCGTTTGGGCGAATGGGAACAGGCACCGAGTTGGATCAGGAATAACCGAAACATACATGCTCTGGGACATTGTAATTTGGTTAAACGTTTCAAAGATGAGGTCAAGATGTGCATGGACCAAGTGGGGTTTTCTGTTCCGGCGGTAGGGAATAGAGACATTACGGGGTGTTTCAGTTTGAATGGACGGGGAGAAGATCCGTGTGGTGCCTTCTCCTGCCCAATAGAGGAAGTGTTGAAGTGGCGTGATAGAGTTAAGGGGCTAGTGTGTTCTCCGGTGGATCATAATCCAGGAGATACCCTGGTTTGCTGCCCGCTGTTATATCGAAAAGGGTTGGATAAGCTCTTTTTGGAGAATACAGGGTTTGAGGAGGTCCGTGACGATGAGACTTCCCTGTTGCAGAGGATGAAAGTTGAGTACAAGGAACAAGGTTTGAACTCGTTCGCAAAATGGGATAAGAATGGGAGGTTGGGACAAGCATACGCCACACCGAAACATAAGGATATTGCGAAATGGAGGCCGATATGCCCTTCCTTTGCAGAGTGTAATGTACGGGGGTCACGGATCATCTCTAGGGTGGTCAATGAGTTGGTATGGGCTCTACCTAAGAGATCTCATTTCAATTTGAAGAGTACTGACCTACTTGTGCGGCAGGTGAAGTCAGTCAATGCCGACGTTGGTAAGAACAAGGTGTTGCTGACTGCGGCATATGATGTCAAGGAGATGTTCTGCAACCTCCCACATGATTCTATTATCAAAGCGCTTACTTGGCTGATTGACTTCTGGATGCGGAATGGAGTGAATGAAATGTTGGTTAAAAAACGGGGGAAAGGGGCTAAACTGATGAGAGGAAAGAAGCCTGATGGATGGTGCACTGTCGAGTTTAACGAAGTGCTGGACTTTGTAAAATTTGATTTGCGCAATACCTTCACCACTGTGGGAGGGAAGATTCTGCGTCAGAGAATAGGTATACCGATGGGCAAACCTTCGAGCCCATCGATTGCATGTATGCTATGCGCTCACTCGGAGTTCGTCTTTTTGCTCTCGTTAGGAACGGACAGATCCTTAGTTCATGGGATTTGCCTTATCGATGATGTATCTGTTTTCGTCAAATTTAGAAAGGGGATATTGAAGGAGAAAAGAAGGCGTGGAAGATTCTCGGGAGATTCGAGGAATCTTATGATCACAATTAGTCCTTGGAATGTATGAGTCGCTCGGACTGCTGGGAATTTTTCGGTTGTGTGATGAAGGATTTCGGATAGCCGGCAGGAATTCGGTGCGCTGTCATGAATAAGAACTAGAGATTGAAGATGGGCAGAATCCTGTTTCAGAATTTACAGGACGCTGCGTCGTATTCCAGTAGACGACAAAAATTGGCGGGGATCACCTCCCTTTTGCATCGGGCTAAGCGATTTACCAGTATGCCTGGTGCTTAAGGAGTTTTTCTTTTTGCCCTGAAGGTCGAGCTTAGACTGAGAGGGTGATCTGATGACTTTTTTGATAACGCTTTGAGAAGTTTTTCAATGAAATTTGGAGGTTTATGGCTTAATTGGGTTCGGTTGTTGACAGGTTGGAACAAAAATCCTGGACGGCGTAAGTGAGTATGTGGGGGCACCGGATGGTCGAATGTGGGTACCTTATAGGGGGGTGGATGGCGTTACTAAGGTCCTCGTGTAGCCTGTCTGTTTTTACCGGAGGGTCGTGGGGGACTATTAAGGCCCTCGTGTGGCCTGTCGGTTTTGTTTGGTTGTTAAGGTCCTCGTGAGGCCATTTTTTCCAAGTCTTTTTCCGGACCCTCGGACGGGTCTATTAGATCTTGTTTGGTCGCGTCCTCGTGTGGCCCATTTTTTGTTTGGTACTCGGGTGGCCCATTTGTTACTGTCACTTGTGTGTCCCCGGCAGTTGTCGTAGGAACTCGTTCCGATAGACTAGTTATATAGATGTTCTGCGGCATTATAGTTTCATCTCCGCCATGATTACACCGACCCCTGATGATTCCGGCTCTGGCGGCCGGATGAAACACGTAGGGTCAACCGCCAGATGCCTGGACTCGGATTTTGACGATTACGGACATGTTGTCCATTTTTTGTCCGGGCTTGGGCTGTTTTTTGCCGTAATATTCATCGAGCCAAGTCGCGTTCGGGAGAAATTGTGTGCCGTGTCATCTTCTTGTTTTCTCCTTCTTCTTCGTGTTTGCCTTTCCTCTCTTTGGGGTGCCCTTGTTATCTATGTCTGTGTCATTCGATCTATAGTTACATCCTTGCTATTTGGTGTATACCACCATACCACCATCAACATGTCGTCACATCTGCTGATATGCTGGACCAGGTGCAGCGTCCGGTCCATGTGGTGGTCCCGGGGACACGGGGTGCTTACAACTGTGGGGAGATGACTGTTGGCCTGCGATAGTCAGTCTCATGGGAAATTACTGCGGGGTGACACTCCACTGGCCACTGTCTGCTGGAACTGCCATTTCCTAAGAAGGAGACTTTTTTTTATGTTTTGAACGAAATTGAAATTGAAACCGATTTTTTTGGCTGAAAACAGGTCCAAAATTTTGCCTCCTGAGGGTCCGGCCTCCTTAATCTGGAAACCAGGTCCAAAATTTTGCCTCCTGAGGGTCCTGCCTCCTTAAATCCGAAAACAGGTCCAAAATTTTTGCCTCCTGAGGGTCTGGCTTCCTTTGAGTTAAAAAGCTGGACCCACTGGATGTATCTGGACTGCTTCCTGAGGGTCTGGGGCCGTTTAAGTTAAAATGCTGGACCCACTGGATGTATCTGGACTTAGCAGGTATCCATTGGGTGCGGCGTTTTCAGAATGCTGTACCCTCAGGAGCTTAAAATAGCTCAGATTCAGCATGTAGCATGGGGCACAGTACATGTGTACTTCATCGAATTTAGACTCGGTTACAATGTCATATCTTGCAGGACTTGCAGAATTTCAGTGGCCAGTTAGGACATCTTATTTTATAAAGACTCATAGACCAGCAGATCAAGTCAGTTCTGGCGCCTATACGGTGAAGAGGTCATTTGAGTTGGGATGTGTTTCAGGAACCTCACGAGTGTCATGTTTGAACTGTAGGGACGTTGGACCCTATTTCCAACAGGTGACGCTCCCCACAAATAGAATGGAGACATCGGACTGTGCAGGCCCCAATCAGGCAGGTTCTCATAGCCTGCCTGATAGTCGCCTGTCCCTGATGATTGAATAAAAAAAAATATATATATATATATATAGACCTAAATCTGACCAATTTATGAGGTTTCAATTTCGTTCATAAAGTCAAATATATGTGCGCTTTTTTTCTTTTTTTAACGAAAATTTGCTGTTTGCCCAGCAAGAGGAAATAGTCAGAAAAAAAAACAGCAGATTTCTCAGTCTGCAATGTTGTGGGTCATTATAATTTATTTTTTTTTGGTCATTATAATTTTGCTTTTAGAAACTTCAATTAATTTTATGTTAATTCATGGGGTGCGTACTGTCTTCACCCTGTGCTGAGGTCCCACTAGCAACATGGATAGAGGATCATAGAGCTCTTGAATCTGGATGTGTTTTCAGCACAGATGCAGAAAAGCAGGTCAATCTCGATTTCCTGCACATTTCCATAAACTCGTCCAGATTCAGGCATTGGATCCTATCCTCTTTCCGAGTGGGACCTCGCCCCTGGTCATTATTGCTGTATTTACTTTTTTTCTTCTTCTTCTATGGAAACAGAATATATTACCAATC